CCGCCGATTCCTCAGCCCGTCTCGGTACCAGCTGCGTGCCAGCTATTCTTAGCCGCGGAGCGTTTGATTCATGCCGCCCCGGCGGAGCGTGCCCGCTCCCTCCCGCGAGCCCTGAGGGGGAGGGGCCGGAGCCGGCCCCGGGGGCTGGGGCAGCCGTACACGCTGGGGGCCCTGGCCAGTTTTTCTTTCATCCCACCGGCCACCCCCTCCTAGCGGGGTTGAGGCTGGGGGTCAGCCAGGGTCAGCCGAGGGGGAGTGGCTGGCTGCAGGCCCCAGATCGCTAGGTGGGCTGTGAGGCGGGGCGGGGAGGAGGAGGCCGGGGTCTCCGCAGAGACGAGGTGGGGCGGCGTGGCTGGGTACCTGGAGGGGGAGGGGGCTTCGCAGCGCTGTCGCGCGTGGGGGAGGGGTCCGCCGGCCCTGGGTTAGAGGCTCGCTCGCCCACAGCTCCTGGAACTCTCCTCCCACCACACACATTTAGTCTTCCCTTTCCCAACCCCCCAGCCCATCCCCACTCCCCCAAAGTCAGCAGTACCCTCCACTGCTTCCCATCTCCATGGCAACGGTGCAGGAACCGGGCCTGGTGTGGGGGGGAGGGACCAGACCAGACATTCTGGTTTCCGGTGCTGGGGTGGGAGTTGGGGGAGAACAGAAGGGAGGCGGACCCCGTTTGGAAGGGGCTCCACCCTCATAAGTCCACCTCAAGGGAGAACAGCGAGGATCCAAAGATGACCCCCTACCTCAGTTTCCCAGACCCTCCTCTCACCTCTTAGCCTCCCTCCTAACACCCCCAGTCCTCAGAGTGGAGCCCCTAGTACCCAGCAAAGCCAGCCCACCCACCCTGCAGTCCTAGAAAAGAGCTACAGGTCATCTGCAGCCATCCACATCTACCCCGGCCACCACACCACTGTCACAAGTACAGCACTCCCCAGGCCAACCTCCCCACCCACCCACACACCCTCTCAAGAGGCCCCAGTCTCTAAAAGCCACTTCTTGTGGTTCCCTTGGGGACACCCTAGGCCAAATGCTCTGCCCATGACACTGCCATCTCAGTGCCCCTTGCTCCCCTGGGACGGCCGATTCCCCAGCACTACTCTGCATGCCACGCGTTGTCAGCCACACTTGAGTGAAGTCACCGGCTCCACCCGCTCCAGGCTCACCACGCCTCCCTCTCCCCCTTACTACATCTCAGTCTCAGCCTCAGCTTCTCCCCAACCCCACCCCCCGGCCCTGGGGTGACAGGCCAGGCTGGGGCCAGGAGGGCAGGATGCCTGTCAGTTTGTCCATCTGTCTGTCCTTAGCTAATTTTAGCTGCATTTTCTGTGGCCTGGCAAAGTGGGCCAGTAGCTCCCGCGGTGATTCTGCGGTTTCTGGGACACGGCCACGCTGGGTCACCGGCAAAGTGGGGCGCAGGGGGCGGGCTGCAAGCGGGGCCAAGGGCAGGGAAGGAGACACATGCCAGAAGCATGTCAGGGACAGGGGTGTGTGCGTGCCAGCATGGGAGGAGGCGGCAGGGGAGGCCATGCAGGCCAAGGGTGTGCCCGGCCTCCTTCCTGCCTATCTTGGGCAGTGGGGGTAGGCTTCCCTTGACCGCTTGACCACCAAGTAGCACTAGTGGCCTCTGAGGGGCCCCGGGTTCCTAGTCTGATGGCCGCCCTTCACCCCCATAGCCGCCTGTGATGCTGCCGTCCCCCGTCGCCCCGTGGCCCCACAATGACCCACAGCCCCGCGACAAGCGAGGACGAGGAACGCCACAGTGCCAGCGAGTGTCCCGAGGGGGGCTCAGAGTCCGACAGCTCCCCAGACGGGCCAGGTCGAGGCCTCCGGGGGACCCGGGGCCGGGGCAGTGGGGCACCTGGTAGCCTGGCCTCTGTTAGAGGCCTCCAGGGCCGCTCAATGTCCGTCCCAGACGACGCCCACTTCAGCATGATGGTCTTCAGGATTGGCATCCCGGACCTGCACCAGACAGTGAGTACCTGCCCACTGGCCAGCGGCAGGAGAGGGACAGGGGAAGCTAGGGGGACAGGGCTCCAACTGACATGGGGAGTTCCACTGGTGCTGGGTATCCTCCCAGGGATCACCCCCACACCCAGCTCCTGGCTCACTTCCCAACCCACCTCAGGCTCCTCTGTGGCCCCTGGCCCACCCTAGCCCCTATCTCCTCCCCCACCAGAAATGCCTGCGCTTCAACCCAGATGCCACCATCTGGACGGCCAAGCAGCAGGTGCTCTGTGCCCTGAGCGAGAGCCTGCAGGATGTGCTCAACTATGGCCTGTTCCAGCCGGCCACCTCAGGCCGTGACGCCAACTTCCTGGAGGAGGAGAGGTTGCTGCGGGAGTACCCCCAGTCCTTCGAGAAGGGGGTCCCCTACCTGGAGGTGAAGCTTCCCCAACTCCTTCACTGACAAGAGAAGGCATGCCCTAAACACATCTGCCCCCCACCCACTTGTTAAGACACTTAACCTTAACGAGGGGGCACCCATTGTACTAGTCCTGATCTTCTAAGCATCACAGGGAAGTCAGAGAGTCCTGAGTTCAAATTGCCGTCTGTTCTGCTTCTGACCAGCTAAGTGACCTTGGCCAAGTCACTTTCCTGCCCCAAGCTTCTCCTCGCCCATCAAAACGGGGGAGGATTCTCAATTACAGTAGGCACTCTAGAACATTTCCTGTGGGGTCCAGACTCCTCCTCCTTCAAAGCAGGGGTTGCAGTGCACATATACCATGATATCCAGCACTCAGAAAAGCTACTGCCACCCCTCTACCCGCTAGACCAAGGTTCCAGGGCTGTTTCCACTCCTACCCTGAGCTACCCTTGGGAATTAGAAGGGGATCAGACCTTCTCCCTACCCCAAGCCTTCTCCCCAGGCTCCTGATTCCAAGTCTCTGTGTCTCTCTCACTGCCCTACCCCTGACCTCAGTTCCGATATAAGACCCGAGTTTACAAACAGACCAACCTGGATGAGAAGCAGCTGGCCAAGTTGCACACTAAGGTGAGAGAATCCTGCTGGCATCTGTCTCCTATAGCCCACTACCACCAGAGCCCCCTGCCCAACTGCTTTCTCTCCCCACCTCTTCCCAACAGACCTGCACATTCCCCAAGCCCACAATCCCTCTGGCCACTTCCACCCCTTAACTCGGGATGCTGTACCACATTGGAGACAACCACAAATACCCCCATTATCCCCATCACAACCTCTTCTTACTTTCCTCTTTTGCCCCTCATCCTTTTGCCTGGGCCCGCATCATTCCCACCTGGCCTCCTTTGAGTCTCCCTTCTCTTCCCCTGCCTCCCCGCATATCCACCCAAGGCCTCTTTACTTCCCCACCTTGGCCTAGGACCCTGACATTGGAAGTCCTTCTGCCTGGAGACTATTTGAAAGACAGGCTACATTTCTCCCAACCTCATAGCCTGAATCCCTGCAAAAATCCAACCGTTACACCCCCCTTTCCAGCCATATCTGTTCTCCTGGTACCTTGCCCACCAATCCTCAGCCCCGTCTCTGCTGTGTCTCTGATGGTGAGAGCTGGGAGGAAATTGGGGAACTGCTTTGGTCAGAAATGAAGGACTCTTGATCCTTGAGAGGGAAAAACTCCCAATCCCGCCTTGTCTAACCCTCTCTCGACCACAGCGTGCATTGAACTCTTTCCTCCCCTAAATGTTCCATCCCTCCAGGCCTTCACAGTCCGCTTTGGGAACCACTGGCCAAGTGTGGCTCCTGAGTACTTGCAATATGGTTAGTCCCAACTAAGACTCGCTGTGAGTGTGAAATACACACTGAGCTTCAAAAACTTAGTGCCAAAAAAAGTTAAATAACCTCATTGATAAGTTTCATCTCAAGTACCTGTTGAAACAGTAACATTGTGGCTATGTCAGTTAAAGAACATATATCATTAAAATGAATTTCAACACAACTAACACTTCACCCCTGACCCTGCTATTTTTTTTTTTTTTTTTTTTTTTGAGACAGAGTCTTGCTCTGTCACCCAGGCTGCAGTGGTGCAATCATGGCTCACTGCAGCCTCGACCTTTCAGGGTTCAAAGGATCCTTCCAGCTCAGCCTCCTGAGTAACTGGGACTACAGGCATGTGCCACCACGCCTGGCTAGTTTTTTGCATTTTTTGTAGAGATAAGGGTCTCACTGTTGCTCAGACTGGTCTCGAACCCCTGGGCCCACGTGATCCTCCCGCCTCGGCCTCCCAAAGGGCTGGGTATTTTCTCTGTAAAGGAGGCCGCTAGAAACTTTTCAATGGCGTATGTGACTCTACGTATATTTTCACTGGACGGCGCTGCTTGAGGACCCCGCTTCTCTGCCTTGCTGCTGACTGTCCTGTCTTGTGTGTCTTTGCCCATGGCTCAGACGGGGTTGAAGAAGTTCCTGGAATATGTGCAGCTCGGGACATCTGACAAGGTGGCGCGGCTGCTGGACAAGGGGCTGGACCCCAATTACCATGACTCGGATTCGGGAGGTAGGGAGGGGTGAACATCAGGAGGACCTCGGGGCCAGGACAGGGCTGGGGAGCAGGGCTGCCGTCTGCATTCAGATCCATTCCTGACTGGTGTCTCTCAAACACGTCGCTGTCCAAGGGGGAGGCTGCGGGGCCAGAGGCTGTGGGGTGGAGAGCTACAGAGCCTGGAAAATGGGAAGGGATGGAGGAGAGGAGAAGGGGCTTCAGGTGACCAGCTTTTCCTGCCTTTCAGAGACCCCCTTGACACTGGCGGCCCAGACTGAAGGCTCTGTAGAGGTGATTCGAACCCTGTGCCTGGGCGGGGCCCATATCGACTTCCGGGCCCGGGATGGCATGACAGCACTGCATAAGGCCGCATGCGCCCGACACTGCCTGGCGCTCACGGTGAGGCTGCGGGGACCCCTCACCCCCACCGTGGGGCCCTCTCTCCTTTTCCCTTTGTTCTTTCTCAAACTTCAGTTCTTTGGTTTCTGTAAAAATAGGCCCTCGCATGTCCCCAGTTCAAAGCCCCTTTCCATAGACTGACACACAGCCCCTATTGTCACCCTTGTCAGGTCCCCCAGGTGCACCCACCTGGGCTACAGCTGACATCATGCAGACCCGGACGCAGCCTCCTCCCCTGAACACCCAGAACATCTCCATCCCCTGTGACCCAGCTCAATACCAAACCTGCCTCTGTCTCCCCAAGGTGTAAACCCTTCTCATTCCTTAAAATGCAAAGTGAGTTCCCTGCTATGCCCCCAGATAGAGCCCCTCCTCACACACCCTGAAAACAATCCCCCAGCTACCCTTCCAAACCCAGCACTGCACCAGCTCCACTCCCTCCTCTCTCACATGCAAATACAGCCCCTTCCCCACGTACACAGCCTCAAATGCACTTTCCCAAATAGACAAACCCATACACCCACAAAATACATACACGGCGTCAGCTGCACAGTCTAATTTTAAAATACTCTTCTCCCCCTGCCCCCGCCAGGACACTTGATTCTTCTTCATATGCGGGTCAAGATGGGCTGCCCCCAAAGACAGCCATTGAGAAGCACCCCAATGCATGGATGCTCCAGCTAAATGGCCCCTCCCTTCTCTCCCTCAGATTCTTTCCTGAAGAGCCCCTAATGCAGTCAGACACCAGCCACAAAGATCTTCAGTATACCCCTGGAGTTAACAGACCCTGTTCGTGTATCTCCCGTGCACACTCACTCCCAAACCCACATCCTGCTCATGCACGCCCCTCCCAGCCTCCAGACCTGTGCTATCCAAGCCAGTAGCCAGTGGCCACCTGGGGCTGTTTAAATTTAAATTAATTAGAGTGAAGTAAAATTAAAATTTCAGTTCCTCAGGCTCACTAGCCACGTTCAAGTGCTCAGGGGACCACACGTGCCTGCCATATAGGGTGGTGCAGTTGCAGACCATCCCCACGATGGTGGAACGTTCTGTTGGATGGCACTGCTACAGGCTGTCCTCATACAAGGTTGCTGCCAACACTTTCTCCTATTAATGCTCATTACTGCCAGCCTTCCACACCCAGAGTTGTCTTTCAAGGGGGAGCAGGAAGTGGCCTGCAGCCCCAGTGAGGCCGGCCCGATCCTTGCCCTTATCCAAGCTCACTTGTCTGTCCCCTGGCTTCCTGCTATGCCCCTTCTTTGAGATCCTGGACCTAATAACACCTCCCACTTGGCCAGAGACCCTCCAGCATCCAGACTCTGGCCTCTCATTTGTCCCCAACAACCCACCTGTAGGAGGTGGAATGGGTGGGTACTGTGGCCCCTAATGCCCTTCAATGGCTCATCCAAGGTCACCCCCAGGGGAAAGGCTGGGTGGGATGTCAGAGTGCCAGGGTCCTCTGGAGGCATCTACCCAAGTCCCACATTGTTCACAGGGGATCAGAGTGGCTCAGGGAGGGAAAGGGCCGGGCTCAAGGTCGCACAAGGGCATCATGGCAGAACTAAGACTGTCACTGTCATTGGCCACTGTGGGTCACCCAGGACGGTCCAGTTTCCCTGGCCCTTCAGAATGAGCTGGTTAATGTGTGACTGTCATCTGTGTTTTTCTACTGGGTTCTCTCTCCGTTCCTAGGCGCTCCTGGACCTTGGGGGTTCCCCCAACTACAAGGACCGTCGGGGGCTGACCCCTCTGTTCCACACGGCTATGGTGGGTGGTGACCCCCGATGCTGTGAGCTGCTCCTGTACAACAGGGCCCAGCTGGGCATAGCTGATGAGAACGGCTGGCAGGAAATCCACCAGGTGCTCCTGATTCACGCCATGAAGGGCTGGGGTGGGGGACCCAGTCTCTGAGGCATCCAAGGGACTGGGGCTGGGAACCAGATGCCAGGGTCCTCACAGAGCATGGGGGTAAGAATAACATGGTCCCCAAAGAGGAAATGATGGGGGTGAAGACACGAAGACCCTAAGGGGGCATAGGCAGGGGAACCAGACGCCTTGATCCCTAAGAGGGATGGGCTGGCCTCTTGGCCCTCTTAAGGAGGCAGACCAGACGCCTGGGCCTTGGAATGACTGAACATTTGGATTGTGAGGCTGACAGCCTGGGTCCCAGAGCAGGAAGCGGGGCGAAAAGGTGATGGGCAGGCGGATGTGGTGAAGGACGGGATGAGAAGGCCAGTGCACAGGTTGGGCACAGACTCTTGGCCCAGAGGGAGAACAGCCTGGGTCTGATCCATGCCCCTCGCTCCCTGTCCTGCCCAGGCCTGCCAGCGGGGTCACTCTCAGCACCTGGAGCATCTGCTCTTCTACGGGGCTGAGCCTGGAGCCCAGAACGCCTCAGGGAATACAGCTCTGCACATCTGCGCCCTCTACAACAAGGTCTGCCTAGCAGTGGCCGCCCCAGGCCCCTCGCATCCCTCATAGCTGCCTCCCCCAGGGCCAAGCTCAGATACTCCTCTTGACTGCATCACTGCACCCTTCACTTCTTCACTATTTCACCCTTTCATCCAGTCATCCATTCATCCATCCATCCATCCATCCATCCATCCATCCATCCATCCATCCAACAGATATTTACTGAGCTCCTTCTCTGTATCAGGCCCGGAGCTGGGTGCTGGGGATAAAGTGTTGAGCTCATGGCCTAGCAGAGGGCAGACAACATAGTTTGCTGCTACAATCCAGAGTGCTCAGAGCAAAGTCACAGGGAATCCAGATCCCTGTGGGAGCCCCCATCTGGGACTGGGCTTGAGATAGAGTGACTGGGGGTGGAGGTGGCTTCCCGGAGGAGGTGTCCCCAGTATTGAGATGAGCAGGAGTAGAAAAGGGGAGAAAGGGGTGCTCCAGGGTGGGGGCACAGCCTGTGCAGAAAACCAGAGGAAAGGGGGCTATGGGTCCTCAGTTCCCCTGTGTCTCCATTCAGCCAGTGGTGTGTGCAGGTGCCACGTGGTGGCACGGCAGGGCACAGGGGAAAGTTCAACGTGCAGCCACTGTGGCCCCTGAAGGGAACGAGTGATATGGGAGTTTTAGCAATTCAGGACCTTGGGGGTCCTGACAACCTGGGTCCCTGAGCAGGAAGGGAGTGCTGAAGGAAGACGGGAAGGACATCCCCACTTCCAGAGTTCCTAGGAGAGGAGAGGGACGGAGCAGGCAGGGGATCTCATGGCAGCTGGTTGGCAAGAGCCAGAGCTTTCAGTATCATGACCTCTGGTACTTTAGCCGCCTGCGCTGCAGATGATCCTGGGCAGGTCAGCCCTATGGAAAGCCTCAGTCTCCCCACCTGTTTCTCGATGTTCCCTGCCCTTGAAGGGCAGCTGTGGGGGTACTTAGAGGGACAGGTGCTCGCATGACAGAGCTGGTCTATCAGCCCCCTTCCTCCAGGAAGTCTTCCAAAACAGCCCTCAGCCCCCTCTGCCTCAGCAGAACTTACAGTGCTGAGGATTTGGCGGGTGGCCACGTGCTGCCTGGTGGCAGCCAGCAGCATGCCTGGAGTCCAGGGAAGACTCAGTGCTTTTCAAACTGAACCAACATGGTGCCGGCACTTCTCTCCCTGTGTGCTTCTGCCTCCTGCTCTGCGACACACAGGCCTCGCAACCAATGCTCTGACTCCCAGGCCCTTGTGCAGCTGATGGGGAAGAAGCCCCGGCCCCACGGGCAGATGGGGGTGGGGGAGCAAAAAAGTCCCCCCGACTCTTTGAGGCGCCATCCTTCTTCCTGAAACGGGAATAACGCCAGCTTTTATTGAAGAGGATGAGCCATCATGTATATTAAGTACTCATCCCTGGAAGGCAGCCATCAGAATAATAATTGTCATTATTGCCATCACCAGTGTCAGTCAGGGTCCAGTCGGGAGACAGAAACTGTACCATTCGGATAAACAGAGAAATTTTAGTATAGAGAACTGGACCAGGCACGGTGGCTTATGCCTGTAATCCCAACACTTTGGGAGGCCAAGGCGGGAGGATGGCTTGAGCCCAGGAGTTCGAGACCAACCTGGGCAACATGGGAAAACTTGGTCTCTATGAAAAATACAAAAATCAGCTGGGCACAGGGGCGTGCACCTGAAGTCGCAGCTACTCAGGAGGCTGAGGCAGAAGAATCGCTTGAGCCTGGGAGGTGGAGGCTGCAGTGAGCTATGATCATGCCACTGCACTGCAGCCTGGGTGACAGAGTGAGACCCTGCCTTAAAAAAAAAAAGAGAGAGAGAGAGAGAATTAGACAGCAGGCAGAGTTTTCTTAGTGGCACAGATGAACAAGTCATTTCCCCTCCTTGATCGTCTCCTTTCTCAGCTGTGATGGGTCAGTAATTAACATCCACCATGCAAAAGCATCAAGTGGGTTAGTAGTTTTGCTTGCCTTTGCCATGGGCTTAACAAATCGATGCATAACACATACGAACTTGATTCTTCCATTTCCCCCCTTGTCTTCCTCCCAGGCTTTAAGCTTTCCAAGAGCCAGGGCTAAGTCTGAGAGTGTTTCCCCAGCCCCTGCCACCTTGGCCTCCTGACATGCCCGTCTAGCCTTTGGTGGTGAAGGTCAGATCCGTGTCTAGGCTGTGAGCACCTCAAGGGTGGGGGTTGAGTCCGATTACTTGCTCTGTTCCAGAACCCCAGCACACAGCAGGCCTAACTGCATCTTTGTTGAGTGAGTGAATGAATGAATGAAAATGAGTGAATGAATGATAGCTCAGCCCTCTTGGATTTCCACCAAGACTCTGCACAGTGCCTGGCTCAGAGCATTCAACAGGTGTTTGCTTGTTTCAACAGACTGAATGACTCAACAAACGAATGATTTGAACAAAATGAATTTTGACTGACTCAACTTCATATCCTCCATCCTCATCCTTTCCATGCACGTTCCTTGAGCACCTACTATGTGCACAGCACCAGGCCTTGGGGATGTGAGATGAATCAGATGCAGCATCTGGCCTGGGGAGGGTGAGGGTGTGGTGGGGGGCGGGGTGGGAGTTCACAGTCTGGTGAGGAGGCAGACGTGTAAACACATCACCGCGACGGCATGAAATAAGTGCTAGGATGCCATTAAATGCGAGTTTCTCTTGGTGCCACCAGCTCTGACTCGTACACCTTCTCAGCTTTGTAAGAGTAGGATGAGGAGCAGGTGAGTTTAGGGGCTGTGCTCTGGCCCTGTGTCCCCAGTGTGGGGGTAGCGGGTGTGAAAACATGTAAAAAGTCAGGAGCAGTGCCTCATGCCTGCAATCCCAGCACTTTGGGAGGCCGAGGCAGGTGGATCATGAGGTCAGGAGTTCAAGACAAACCTGGCCAAGATGGTGAAACCCTGTGGCTACTAAAAAGACAAAAATTAGCCAGGCGTGGTGGTGTGCACCTGTAATCCCAGCTACTTGGGAGGCTGAAGTAGAGAATTGCTTGAACCCAAGAGGCAGAGGTTGCTGTGAGCTGAGATCGCACCACTGCACTCCAGCCTGGCTAACAGAGCAAGACTCCATCTCAAAAAAAAAAAAAAAGAAAAAGAAAAACACGCAAAAGTACACATGGCAGGCGTTAACAGTCTAGTTGGCCAGCATCACAGGCATACACAGGCTCACATACACACACACACTCACGAACATACCCAGAACACACACTGGGCTAACTCTGCTGCCTGATGTGTCTTTGGCAGTCAGAGTCATCCATTCATAGGAGACAGGTGAACCATAGGATCAGAAGACCACGTGCACAGGAGGATTGCTTGAGCCCAAGAGGTGGAGGCTGCAGTGAACTGAGATCGCGCCACTGCACTCCAGAAAGTGGAGGTTGCAGTGAGCTGATATTGCGCCACTGCACTCCAGCCTGGCAACAGAGCGAGACTCCATCTCAAAAAAAAAAAAAAAAAAGGAGAAGGCCAGGTTGGAATCCTCATTGCTCCACTAACTGGTTGTGTGGCCTTGGGCATAGCATCTGCCCTCTCTGAACCTGTCCTGTAACATGGGCTCATACAAACCCCTTGGTGGGTTTGTCATGTGGAAGGGATAAGATCAAGGAAGTGCTTGGAGAATGATGGTTAAATTAGCGTCAGAGGACTCTGGGGTAGAGTTAAGCTGGAGGCCAAGTTGGGTTTAGCCAGGCCAAGAAAAAAGGGAGAGGACACTGCTCCTACTGAACAGTTCCTGTGGTTCCAGCATTAATCCAGGTGGCAGGTGCCACAGGCAAAATCATGCCCCTGTACAACTTATGACGTAGAGGAGAAGAGACGCTAATCAGACAAATAACAGGAAATGGAATTTCAGGGAGACGGGGTTATGAAGAAAATGAGTTAACATTGGCTTAGAGTGCCTGGCACATACACCAGTCTCGTATTAAAAAACAAAGCAAGGAGCCAGGCACAGTGGCTCATGCCTGTTATCCCAGCACTTTGGGGGGCCAAGGCGGGCTGATCACCTGAGGTTAGGAGTTCAAAACCAGCCTGGCCAACTTGGGGAAACCCCGTTTCTACTAAAAATACAAAAATTAGCCAGATGTGGTGGGCGGGTGCCTGTAGTCTCAGCTACTTAGGAGGCTGAGGCAGGAGAATCGCTTGAACCCAGGAGGTGGAGGTTGTAGTGAACCGAGATCATGTTACTGTACTCCAACCTGGACGTGCCACCACGCCTGGCTAATTTTTGTATTTTTAGTAGAGATGGAGTTTCTCCATGTTGGTCAGGCTGGTCTTGAACTCCTGACCTCAGATTACCTGCCCCCCTCGGCCTCCCAAAGTGCTGAGATTACAGGCGTGAGCCACCTGTAGCCAGCCACACCAGGCCAATTTTTAAAAAATTTTTTTGTAGAGACGAGATTTCGCCATGTTGCCAAGGCTAGTGTCAAACTCCTGGGCTCAAGCGATCCCCCCCACCCCCCGCCTCGGCCTCCCAAAGTGCTGGGATCACAGGAGTGAGCCACGGTGCCTGGCCCACCTTGGGCTCTTTTGAAAGCCTTAGTTTCCTCCTCTGTAAAATAGAGACAATTTCCATGTCCTGGAATTGTTGGGCAATTGAAGGATCTTCTGCCTCTAAAGTGCCAAGTGCCTGGCATGTAATGGTGAGCCTCCCTAAGGTCTAGACCCGTGGTTCTCAACCGGGGAGCTTCTGTCCCCCAGGGCACACTTGTCAACGTCTAAAGACATTTTTGGTTGTCATGACTGGGGAGGGGAGTGCTACTGGCATCTAGTGGTAGAGACGGGGGATGCTACTCAACATCCCACAGTGCTCAGAACACCCCCCACAAACCAATGAATCACCAAAGAATTATCTGGCCCCAACGTTCAGTGGAACATAGCATGAGCACCTATCCTAAATGCCCTCAAATATCCTAGTGGCCATGTTAAGGAGAAGGGGAAAATAATTAGGTGACATTTATTGTAACAACATACTTTACTTGTAACAGTGTATCCAAAATGTTATCATTTCAACATAGAATCAATACAGAAATTATTTTTTGTGTGTGTGTGTGTGTGTTTTTTCTTTTGAGACAGAGTCTCCCTCTGTCACCCAGGCTGGAGTGCAGTGGCGGGATCTCGGCTCATTGCAACCTGCACCTCCTGGGTTCAAGTGATTCTCCCACCTCAGCCTCCTGAGTCGCTGGGATTACAAGCGCCCGCCACCACACCTGGCTAATTTTTGTAGTTTTTGGTAGTGATGGGGTTTCACCATGTTGTCCAGGCTGGTCTCAAATATCTGGCCTCAAGTGATCCGCTCGCCTTGACCTCCCAAAGTGCTGGGATTACAGGTGTGTGTCACCACGCCTGGCATTTTTTTTTTTTTTCTGGGCGGAGGGGAGACAGGTCTGTGCTCTGTCACCCAGGCTTGATCTCAGCTCACTGCAGCCTCAAACTCCTGAGCTCAAGAGACCCTCCCACCTCAGCCTCCCAAGTATTTGGGACTCCAGGCACCCACCACCATGCCTGGCTAACTTCTGTTTATTTTTTTATAGAAATGGGGAGTGTCTCACTATGTCGCCCAGGCTGGTCTGGAACTTCTGTCTTGGCCTCCCAAAGTCTTAGGATTACAGGCTTGAGCCACCACACCTGGCTATAGACATTTAAATTCTCTCTTGTTTTCATATGACATCCTTGAAATCCAGTGTGTATTTCGCATGTATGGTGCATCTCCATTTGGGCCATCCATGTTTAAACTCAAGTGCTCCTGGTCCGTACCTGGCAGGTGGCTGCTGTCCTGAGTGGTGTGGGTTTAGGGTGGAGTATTTATTCCTGAGGCTCTTAGCACAGTACCTGTATCCACTCATGGTGCCCTTAATCTTTTTTCTCTCTCTTTGTCCTGCGCCACTGGCCATCACCCACAGGAGACCTGTGCCAGGATCCTCCTGTATCGAGGTGCCGACAAGGATGTGAAGAATAACAACGGACAGACCCCATTCCAGGTCTGGGGCTGCAGTGGCTGTACTGAAGTCTCCGGGGCTAAGGAAAGGGTGACAGTGACACCCAGTGGATAAGGAAGGGGACAATGAAGAAAGCAAGGAGACAGGCCGTGGAGGGGGAGCTGGAAGAAGAGGGAGGGCGGCATTGTCAGGGTGGAAGGTTTGGGTCGGGCTGGGGACCTCAGCATGTTTCCTGCCCTCTCTCTGCTCCCTGGGCCACCCCGTCCCCCGCCAACCCACCTCTACCCCCTCCCTCCAGGTGGCAGTGATTGCTGGGAATTTTGAGCTGGGGGAGCTGATCCGAAACCATCGAGAACAGGATGTGGGTGAGTGACAGGGAGCTGGGGCTGCACAGAGAACCTGGGGCGGCTGGGGTTTCATGGTAGGATGGGAGAGTTGGGGTACCTGACTTGAGGGCCAGGATAGGATGGAGAAAACCCTAGAGGACCAAAAATGTCTGGGTGGTGGTTGGGGGAGCAATTCCAGGCCCCCCGCCCTTTCTCATCTCTGTCTTTCTCCCTCATGCCTCTCTCCCACCATCTCTCGCCCCCGCATGGCCCCCTGCTTGCCTTTTCTCCCCTAACATCTGCCCCCCGCCGCCACTGTGCCCTCTCAGTGCCCTTCCAGGAGTCCCCCAAGTATGCGGCCCGGCGACGGGGGCCCCCGGGCACAGGGCTGACAGTGCCCCCGGCGCTGCTGCGGGCCAACAGTGACACCAGCATGGCGCTGCCCGACTGGATGGTGTTCTCCGCCCCAGGGGCCTCGTCCTCTGGGGCCCCTGGCCCTACCTCAGGGTCCCAGGGCCAGTCGCAGCCCTCGGCCCCCACCGCCAAGCTCAGCAGCGGGACCCTCCGAAGTGCCAGCAGCCCCCGGGGTGCCAGGGCCCGCTCTCCATCCCGAGGGAGGCACCCTGAGGACGCCAAGAGGCAGCCCCGAGGCCGGCCCAGGTAGGGGAGGCAGCCCTGGCTCCACAGTCCCCAGCCCGGTCAAATCCCCTCCCCAGAGCGGTGGCTTCCCCCGAGGCCAGCCCAGCTGCCTTCCTCTGTAGGCCCTCATCCATCCAAGTCCCTAGTGTCACCGTGGGGCAAAGGAAGGGCCTTGGGAGCTACTGTCCCAACTCCACCCCCAGTGCACCACGTTAGCTGGACATCTGCTCCACGACAGGGGCCCCATGCAGAGGATACCCCAAAGAAACATGTGTCCCAACCCCTGGGGACAGAGAATGACAGGGTGAGGTGGAGGGAAGCCAAGCAGGAAGAGGATGGGGGTGGTGGCAGGGACTTGGGTGGGGGACAGAGAGGTCACTCTGGAGGGAGGATGAGGAGTGGGTGGGGGACATTCCAGGGTCAGGAGGCCCACGTGGCTAGAGGAGGGTGAGAAGGAGGTGGAGGCCAGCCAGGCGTGTCCCGAGGAAGTGGGGGAGAGGCTGGCAACGGCGGGCAGAGGAGTTGGACCTGACCCAGGAGGAAGCTGGGAGTCGCGGAAGGCTCGTGAGCGGAGGGATGACACAGTCCCAGCTCAGCCTCAGGAAGCTGAATCAGGCGGTGCGCACAGGACCGTGGGAGGGGGCAGAGCCGGAAGCCAGGAGGCAGGAGAGGGGGCTGGGGGGCAGCTGCGGGGAGGCAGAGGAGCCCCCAAATGCCCTCTTTCCTGGAGGATACCAGTGCTGGGAAAGCCCCTCCCCCCTCCTCCACCCTGATGCTCCATCCTCTTCCCCCACCCAAGGACCCCTGTCCTCCCAGAGGTGTTCCCTCCCTCCACCCTCCCCTGCCTCTCATGCCCTCTGTGTACGCAGCTCCAGCGGGACACCCCGGGAAGGGCCAGCCGGGGGCACGGGGGGCTCAGGGGGCCCCGGGGGCTCCCTGGGCAGCCGCGGGAGGCGGAGGAAGCTCTACTCAGCAGTACCCGGACGCTCCTTCATGGCTGTGAAGTCGTACCAGGCCCAAGCCGAGGGGGAGATCTCCCTGAGCAAGGGCGAGAAGATCAAAGGTACCCAGGGTGGAAGCAGGGCCTGCGCTGGGCTGGGCTGTGGGGGCGATCAGGGAAAACGTGGAGCAGAGAGCAGACCATTCTCAGATACCCAGAGTATCTCAGACCTCAGAGAGCCCTGTGGCGCCCCTTGAGCCTTGAAGGAGCAGAGAGTGTAGCTGAGATGACCCCGTCAGGAGGCAGTGCTGAGGCAAAGGCAGTGAAGTGGGCCGGGTCCCATTGTGGGACACTGATGCCGTGTGCAGGGCATAGTTGGAACATCTCACCAAATCGTCTCATTAGACTCCTCATAGTCCTTTCTGGGGAGGGAGGTCATGGACCACATTGCATAGTTGAAGGAACAGAGCCTCACACAGGTGAAGCAACTTGCCCAAGGTCCCCAGTCCAAGCCCACAGTCCTTCCTGCCACCTGGTGCAGAGTGTGAGGCCGAGCAGCCTTAACTTTGCCTCCTGCATCTGCCCAGGGGTCCTCAACTGAGAGACGGGCAGGATTCTACTTCTGGGGCCCCAATGAGTTGGCACATGTAAGATGCTTGGCCATGGGGAGGGCTCCCAAAACAGTGGTTGCCGTTATCAGGGTTCACCTCCCTCTGGTTTTTCCACCTTCGTTTGGAAAGTGGAGCCAGTCTCCCCTGCTTGTAGGCTTCGCAGGGCTGCTGACGTGTTCTTGGATAGAAGGATGCTTTAGAGACGACCACTTGCCACAGGTGTGGCCGTTAATATCAGGCATTGGAAAAATTATTTGCCAGACTCTAGGCTGCCCAGGAGCCGAGTGGTATAGAGGTTGAGAGCCTGGCGGCCTGGGTTCAAATCCTGGCCCCACCACTTCCTAGCAGGGTGACCTCAGCCAAGTGACTTCTCTGGGCCTCAGTTTCTTCATCTGTAAAATGAGACCCTCATGAGGATTAGAGGAGTCAGAGCATGTAAAGCACTTAGACCAATGTTTCCTACATAACAAGTGCCACATAAGACCCATCAGTTGGCCAGGCGCTGTGGCTCACGCCTGTAATCCCAGCACTTTGGGAGGCCGAGGCAGATGGATCACCTGAGATCAGGAGTTCTAGACCAGCCTGGCCAACATGGTGAATCCCCATCTCTACTAAAACACAAAAAATAAAAAATTAGCTGGGCGTGGTGGCGCACACCTGTAATCCCAGCTACTTGGGAGGCCGAGGCAGGAGAATTGCTTGAACCCAGGAGGCGGAGGTTGCAGTGAGCCGAGATCACGCCACTGCACTCCTGCCTGACTGACAAGAGTGAAACTCCATCTCAAAAAAAAAAAAAGAAAAAAAAAAAGCCATCATTTTCTTAAGTGGCCCCTACTTTAGGCACTTAGAGGAGAGAGACCTGGGCCCCTGGATAAGTAGGGAAGATCCTACCGTAGAAGGTCAACTTGAGTGAGGCCTTGAAGGGTATTCAGGGGTCAGAGCGTCAGGCGGGCTGTGTAACTGCATGTGTTACAAAGTCTCTCTTCCCATAGCCTGAGTTCCTGTAGGTGAGGTCATAAGTCATTGGTCTCTGGGTCTCTAGGGCTCAGTTTAATGACCCAGCACACAGGAGGCTTTAATGCATATATATTGAATGAATGAATGAGTGAATGAATGATCAAATTCAGGAGCTACTGTGGAGGCCAGGTGCAGCTCCTTCAGGGCAAGCAGCCTGGGACATAGGCACGTGGGGTGGGAGGAGATGGGAGAAGAGAAGGGTGAGCTAAGGCCAGAAGTAAAGAACCTTCCAGGCAGGCAAGGACCATGGGCAGTATCTTGCTGAGCTACAAGCTCAATGTTTCTACGCAGGATGAGGATACGCTGCCTTCTGTTTTTATATCCTCGTCTTCCATTAAGAGGGACTCAATTGCCTCAAAGCACGCCCACATCCACGATGTCACTGAGCTTCACACAACCCGATGAGGTAGCCGACTCCTGCTACTCTCAGAATCAAAGCCCAAAGTCTTAACCTGGCCTCCAAGCTGCCTGTCTGCCCACCTTGCCAACCTCATCTCATGCGACTCTTCCCTTCACCCACAAAGTTCCAGGGACCTCATCCTTCTATCTATTCTTCCAGTGCCCCAAGCCCTCCCATCCCCCAATGCCCTGAGCCCTCCCATCCCCCAGTGCTCCAAGCCCTCCCATCCCCCAATGTCCCAAGCCCTCCCATCCCCCAATGCCCCAAGCCCTCCCATCCCCCAATGCCCTGAGCCCTCCATTCCCTCAATGGCCCAAGCCATCCAATCCTCCAGTGCCTGAGCCCTCCCCAATGTCCCAAGCCCTCCCATCCCCCAATGCCCTGAGCCCTCCCATCCCCCAATGCCCTGAGCCCTCCCATCCCCCAATGCTCCAAGCCCTCCCATCCCCCAATGCCCCAAGCCCTCCCATCCCCCAATGCTCCGAGCCCTCCCATCCCCCAATGTCCCGAGCCCTCCAATCCCCCAGTGCCCTGAACCCTCCAATTCTCCAATGTCCCAAACCCTCTAATCCTCTAATGCCCCAATCCCTCCAATATCCCAAAGCCCCAAGCCCTCCATTCCCTCAATGGCCCAAGCCATCCAATCCTCCAGTGCCTGAGCCCTCCAATCCTCCAGTGCCCAAGCCCTCCAATTCCCTAGTGCCCCAACCCCTCCATTCCTCCCATGCCCCAAGCCTTCCAATCCTCCAATGCCCCGAGCCCCCCAGTCCCCCAATGCTCCAAGCCCTCCAATCCTCCAATCTACCAACTCCTCCATTCCTCCAATGTCCCAAGCCTTCTTATATGCCAAAATCTTCAAACATGCTGTTCCTTCTGCCTGGAAAACTCTTCCATGCTCTCTTTGCCTCCCCAGCTCCTAGGATCCTTCAGGTCTCAGTCTATATGTCACACCTCAGGGACACCTCGTTGGACCCCTTTGCCGTCTATAAGTTATATACTCCCATCTGGCTTCTCTCCAAACACCCTCTTATTGTCCCTGGAGCTCTGACCCCAACTTCCAATCATGTAGTCACTTGTACAGTTATGCCTCTATTGGCGGCTGTTCTGGAAGCTCCTCAAAGGAAAGAAGAACATTGATTATATTCAACTGTGTCTACCCTGGTACCTGACTCATGACTGGCACTAAATAAGTATTTTTTAAGTGAGCAAATGATTGATTACAAGACCACCAAGCCAGGCATGGCAGTACCAGCCAAGAACCCAGTCCCCTTGACAACCCATCTCCTGCTCTCTTCCACGACTTTCGGCTTCCCCTCATTTAGTCTCCCCAGATGCTCTCAAGGGAGTCAGTTTATGGAGAGGAATACATCTGATGGCCCCAACTCAACCCCTAGCATAGCTGGAGTCATCTCCATGCAGGGGTATTCTCCACATTCGCTTCAGCTCCTTTGTCTATACAATGGAAAAACAGTTGTTACCTAGCCTGGTAGGCATAAGGGTTGAACGAGGAAGGAAACTATGTGAAGGGCTAAATGGGGGCAGAGTCATGAAAATTGCCAGAGAAATTGAAGACCATGTGTTCGCCACTGGTGCCCTTGTCATGCCCTGAAGCCCTTGCATGGAGAGGTAGCAGCACATGAGTGACTGAAAGCATGCCCTCTGGAAGCAGACTGAGCTGTGTTCAAATCCAGATCTGTCAATTACTAGCCTTGTAACCTTCAGCAAATGATCTTGGCTCTCCAAGCCTCAGTGTTCCCATCAGTAAAAGGGGGATAAAGGAAGTGGCCCCTCTTAGGGTTCTGGCCCAGGTGAGAGTTGGATAAACATTAGCTGTTCTTGTCATGCATCTGTTTTTCAGCAGCAGGCATGTAACAGGCAGCCTGTGATGTTTGCTAAATGGGGAAGCGGTGGGGCCTGGGAGGGTGGGCAGGGGGAAGTGGCTTCCGTTAGGGGAGAGGGAGAGAAGGAAAGAGGTGATTCTAATCTCTTCTCCATTCTAGAGCCAGGAGAGGCAAAGAGGCAGAAAGAAGGGTCTGGGGACAAAGGACTAAAGATTAAGTGGCAAGGAGACTTTGGGAGGTGGCAAGGACAGTGGTGGGAGGGTGAAGTAGAGCTTGTCCCCCCATCTGTGATCTAAGTCCACAGAGCCTAGGAGGATGAAAAGGAATTACACAACGGAGCTGTGACCAGTTACCAGGGGAGACAAGGACCAATTGTGGACCTGCCCCTAACCCAGGAAGACCATGTTATGGAACACAGTCCTCTTCCCCAATGCCTCTGGTTCTCATTGGATGCAGAAGCTAGAATGCAAGAGTGATATGATTTGGGTCTCCCGCAAGCTCCTTGCTCCTTCCTCAGACGTTTATTAAGGATGTCATTGGGCTGGGAGCTGCTAACTGTGGGAAGGCTGTAAGTTGAATGTGTTGGCAGTTGAGAGGCATAGAGACACAGAAATGTCTCTTTGTCCCTGTACCCCATCCAGTACTTAGCATCGGGGAAGGAGGCTTCTGGGAAGGCCAGGTCAAAGGTCGTGTTGGCTGGTTCCCGTCTGACTGCCTGGAAGAGGTGGCGAATCGCTCTCAGGAGAGTAAGCAAGGTAAGGTGGAACCCCCAGCCGTGTTCAATGGACCCTACGATTCCCATGTCCATTCCTTTCCCTTCCTAATGAGGGTGGGGTACTGGGAGGTAGATGGGAAGACTTGGGCCAGGAGCTCTAGGGTTGGGCTTGTGGTTTCCAAAACAAGAGTCCAAGGTTGTCTATTGTCCCCCTGCAGAAAGCCGCAGTGACAAGGCAAAGAGACTCTTCCGGCATTATACCGTGGGCTCCTACGACAGCTTTGATGCCCCAAGGTAAATGTCCTTACACCCTCGGGCAACCCCCCTCACCCCAAGTTCCCTTTGCAATGTATTCCTTTAAATATTTCCATCACCTCTAAGCCCCTTTTCTAATCTATTCCTTCTAAAGTTTGATCCAGGGGTGGGAGAAGCCAGAATTAGCTTCAGACAGCACAGCCCAACCCCAAACCATCTTCGGCAGCCACTAAGACTGCCCAGCTCTGGGGTAGCCAGAGACAACGGAGTGGTCAGGGCAGGGCGGGGATGCCTGGGGGGGCCAGGGCGCTCTTATGTCTGGCTGGTTGGAGGCCCTTGTCTCCTTCATGTGCCCCATCTCTGTGCAGTCACGGGCAGTGGGAATGTGTGTGTCCCATGCACCAGTGTGGGGAGGGTATTGTCAGGGCCGGGTGGGATGAGGGTGAGGAGAGAGGTGCACTGACACCTTTCCCCTCCCTGGCTGCTGGCTGACTTGCTTCGGAAGCTTAATGGATGGGATTGGCCCAGGGAGGTGAGAGGGGAGGGGCAGGGAGGGGATGGGGTCAGGAGGGGAAGGACGGGCTGCCTGGGGGGGTGTATGAACGTGTGTGTGCACGACCAGAGCTGAGGTTTCCTGGTGTGTGAACGTGTGTCTCTGTAGGTGTGCATGACACGCATCTGTGTGCATGTGTGGCCTGGATGTACCTGTACCTATGCCCGGGGCTGGAGGGTCTGCCCTGCTCTGTATATAGCGGTGCGTTTGTGGCTATGATTATGTGGGGCTGCCTCTGCACATCTGTGCTTCTCTCAATCTGTGGGCAAGCACTGCAGGGCATGTCAGTGAGTCTGCTCACACACATGGACAGGTGGGTCTCTGCACACATCTGTCCCTCTCTGTGCATGTCACTGTGCGTGTGCTCTCGCACATTAATGTGTGTGCATGCATGTGCGTCTGTCTGATTGATCTGAGTTTCAGGACCTGGGATGTTGGGGGAGGGACGGGCAGAGGAGGGGAGGATTCCAGGGCTTGGGCCTCCAGAAGGACAAGGTTGTGGGGGAGGGAGGGTCGTAATTTGGTGTCTAAAATATGACACTCTCCTCCACTGCTCCCCCCAATCCAGGGAAGGGTCCCCTTGTGCGTAGCTTCCTTCCATTAAATGTGTCCAAACCTATGTGTCTGTGTTCTGGCCAGTGGGGATGGGTCGGGGATGGGGGGGACAGAGAAATGGCAACATGGGGATAGAGGGTGGGGCTGGGGTGCCACCCTGCGCCCCGAGTGTCTGAGGCGCTTGACCGTTGTGCGTGTTTGCCTGGCACGTCTCCGGCTCTGGGCACCGGGTGAGTATTGGGGTACACCCCCCACCCCGAGCTTCTATGTCAACCTCTGCTTCTTGTCTACCAGCGTCTCTCTGGGTCTCTCCTTGGCCTCCGTCCGTGGGAGTCATTTGCCCTACCAGCTGAATGGGGGTGGTCCCCGTCACCCTCAGCTTCCTTCCTCCTTCTACTCTGTCTTGTCAATGGGCTTCCTCCCCTACTCCTCCCTGCCTCTCGCTGGCTCCCACGTGCTCTCTGTGTGTGGTGCGTCGGAGCTTCCCCTCCTCCTGCCTCCTCCCTGTTCCCGGACCCTGTCTGCGCTGGCCTGGCCTGTGCCGTGTGGTGCGCCCTGCAGCCAGGGCCCAACCCCGGCCTCCCTCCCGGAGCTGGGCGGTCCTTCGTGTGTCTCCCCTCCTGGCGTGTGCCGCCCCCTCCTCGCGCTGGCTTGGGGTCCACGGCTCTCTCGGGGAGCTGTGGTGGTGTGTTCGCCCCTCCGCCTGGGCTTCTCTGGTGGGGGAGGGGTGTTGCTCATGGCCTTGGGGCCCAGTCTGAATGTCCTGGCCTTTCTTGCCGACCGTGTCGAGGTGCGTTGCGTGTTGGTCTGTAGTGGTGGGCTGCGTGTCCCCGCCTGGGGCCTCTCTCACCCGCGGTGTCCCTGCCGGGGAAGCGGGGCTCCGTCCGCGCGTCCGTGCACGCGGCTGCGAGGCATCTTGTGTGATGTTGTGCCTCCCTCTCCCCGCGCTCTCTCGCTCTGCACCTGCGCGGGAGGGCTCTGGAGGGGGGAGGGGGGTTAAGGGGGGGCTC